TAGACAAGTAATAAAGATTTTACGTGCACTATACAGCCAAACAGGTCTGTGAGCTGTAATTCTAAATTTATATAATACGTTAAATCGTTAAATGATAATGATGTGGTTTTCTAATAAGTATAAAATATTTAGTATATCAAAAGTTATTAAGATAAATCTATTCGATAAAAAGTTGTTATACTTAATAGTTCCACAATTATACACACTCACTGTACACAGTTATAATTTGTTCGTGTTGTCGTGCGTATATAATACAAATATGGAGTGTATAATTACAAAAAAAAAATAAAAAAAAAAATAAATTTACAAACATTTTTTATACAACGTTCATAAAGACTTGTGCAATGGAACAGATGGAATAACAGATGAAGAAATAACTACTGTTTATAAATTTGGAGCTCACAGTCATGAAGGTGATACAGATTGTATTAACTCAGAAAATACTAAATGTACTATGAATAACATAGCAAATGAAAATTATGATTTAGCATCTCGAATTTATGCACGAAATGTGGTTAATTTATCAGACGAAAGCAAACGATATAATATTGGAAATGAAAATTCGATAAAAAAGGAGTTCGCAGCAATATCTATCCAAAAATTTCAAAAATAGATGAAATTTTACTGGCAGGAAAACATTGGAGTATGATTGGTAAAGATAATTCAGAGTCGTTTTTATTTTATGACAATAAAAATAATGAAAACCATATTATAATTTTCTCTTCAGAAACGTGCATTGACGTATTAAAACGTACCAAAATTATTTATATGGACGGAACATGGTCTACTTGCTACTTGTCCCTCCGAATTTTACCAAGTTTATATATTACACGCAAATGTAGACAATATTATTATCCCTGTGGTGTACACTTTACTTCAGCGTTAAAATATAGAAACTTATATTGAATTACTGACTGCTCTAAAAGATAAATTTGAATCACTTTCAATAATATCAATTGATTTCGAATATGCTGTGGTACTGGCAATTAAGAAAGTATTTAACAATGAAATATYAGTGCAATTGTGTTTTTATTATWTAAACCAATCTATCTGGCGATCCTAACTAATCTACTTAATATAATTGTGATTTATTTAAATTTTGACTATTTGTATAATTATATTGTGTGAATATTGATTATGTATTTGTAATTTTGTAATATTGTCATTTAAAAATTAAATTTTTCATTTAAAATTAAAGTACTTATMAAAATATGCCGGGAACCAAACGTCCTATGTCTAATAACTCTCCGGGACAAAACGTCTTATCTTAAAAATTGCCGGGGACTGGTTTTTTTGACGGGGACGAAACGTCCACGATTCCTATTTGATACATCTCTTTCAATATTGARAATAGCTAAAGATGAAAAAAAGATCATGACTCATGGTGGAGCGTATATAAGTACTAATTCTTCGCATGGTTAAAAAAGACCGTTCACAAAACGCAGAAGAAATAGGTATACTTAAAGCCAAGTTCAGTAGCTTGTATAGATTGGGAAATGTTTCAACTTTAATGAATTTTTGATATGAACTTATTTGATTTTTAGTTTTTTGAACCGTCAATCATTCGCCAAAGAGTTGGGCATCCCGTTTTTCTCAGCTAGTGATGGATGGTTAACGAATTTTAAGAAAAGAAACGGTATTGTTTTCAAAAAAATTTGTGGAGAAAGTTCTAGTGTTGACGATAACGTGTGGTCAGAGTGGCATCGTRAACTTTCAACTTTGTTAAAAAACTATGAGCCACGAAACGTGTTCAACACAGATGAAACCGCTCTATTTTTTAAATGTTTACCAGATAAAACTTTCACTTTTAAAGAAGAAAAATGCCACGGCGGGAAACATAGTAAAGACAGGTTAACGATTTTATTAGCAGTAAACATGGACGGCTCCGAAAATTAACAATAAATACAGGGCCGCATTATACTAGGTGCAAATGGAGCATTTATTATAAATAACTCTAATATGTATGTCGTATCACCTAATTTACTGAAATAATTAATATGTATGTATGTAGGTATGTACAATAATAAAAAACAACATTTTTTTCTTAACTCTCTATAATTCGAATTTTTTTTTGCCCTCTCGTTATTTCAAACTACTCAACAATTCGAACTCTCGGTAATTCGAAGTTTTTCAGCAGTCCCGTCAATTTCGAATTATCGAGAGTCGACTGTATATTTAAAACATATTTTATGCAATGTGTGTGTATAATAAATGAGGATTTTTGAACATATAAAGAATACCTAAAAAAAAAAAATATTTTGTTATATCCTTGTCATTTTTATCTTCGACTTAACCTTGTTTTAAACAATTGACAATTGATTTGCAATTATCCATCACTGCCCTACAGTTATTGTAGCTACAAAAATTCAACTTGCGTCACTTATTTGTGAAAGAGTGCATGGTTTAATATTTAAATGTTTTTGCATTTCTTGTAATTTTTGGTTCAATRAAAATGAACAAAAATAAAAATAAAAATAAATAAGTAATTCATTTAAAATTAAAATAAATAAGTAATTCATTTAAAATTAAATAAATATGAACTTACATTTACATTTTTATACATATTAACAACATTAAAATTTAGTTTATGAGCCATACAATGAATGTATGTCGCATACGGATAGTGTTTCATCATTTTGGCTTGTACATCACYCTTTCTGCCAGCCATTACATTGGCTCTATCATATGACTGTCCAATGATGGGGACTTGGTCTGACTTACAGAATCTTAAAAAGTTAATAATTGCATTACTTAATGACTCAGGGTCTTGTTTTTAGGACACATTGAGAAAGCCAATACCTTTCAAAAACCTTCAAAACTTTTGGTGTACCTAACACAAACTGACATTTGTTCTTCTTTGTGGCATCTAAAAAATATAATTAATAAATATATTATATAAATTATTACATAAAGTAGTTATAAAATTAATTTAAAAAAATATAATATAAAGTCATCAGGAGATATTACCTTGCTTCATCACACATAATAGAGTAAAATTCAGCATTTAGAACTTAATTTTATGATATAGTCTCAAACATGATTTGAACAAATATCAATAATAATATTTTGTGTAGTAGGACTTGTATAATTTATATATTTCTCATAATGAATATGATAATCTGGATTATGCTTGAAAATCAGTTTACAAGCTTCCTTAAAATTGCCTATCAAAAAGAATTTATATTATACTAATATAGGTAGGTATTAACTATTACATTATTATACCTTGATTTAGTGAATTGCTGTCTTCTTGATGATCCCTAAATGGTATGCCTTGACGACYGAGATACAGAACAATATCTATTATACATTTCATATTGTTTTGATTCTTGATTACTTCTTCATGCTTAGCATTTGACAGTTCTTTCCTTTACCTTTTGAACCACTTGTCTATTATAATGCATTTAAGATTTAACARTGATTATTGTAGGTAATAATAAATAAACAGTATTTGGCGTTTGTGAGCATTATATAATTTTAGCGCCCGGTAGGATAGATGAATAAAGTATGCAAAGATATTTAAAAAATATAAGCACTTACTTTTGTCCAGTTGTTAAAACCTTTAGTTGTAAATGTTTCTTTAAATTTGTATTAGCTGGTATCAAAATTACGACATGCACAGCAAAATATACTACATTTTGTAATGCTAAACTCAAGCCAATCGAACTGTTTAATCAATGCTGAAGTCAAAACGTGATTTTGTGATTCAAAACAAGTTTTAAGATAATATGCCTAAAAAATAGWTGGAATATTTGGAATAAGCGAACAGCAAAAGCCGATCAGTTTTAGGCAGGCTAATAGGCTATATATAATATTATATATGATTACATAAAACTTACGTCTAATATAGGAGTTGCTGGGCCCAAGTCAATATCATCTAAATCTAAAATTACATTAATATCACATTTTACATTTTGTGTGGGTTCATGTACAGTCTTCACAGATATAGCATCATCCACAGATTTATAAATGTTAACAAAGTTTTTATGTTTACGTTTACTGAAAATACTAAATACATTATTTTTTTTCCATTTTGGTGAGCTGATTGAAGTTTGAATGATAACCGTATTATTCGTAAATTCGTAATARCATAGAATAATAATTAATAATATTAATASGTACTACTGTACTAGGTAGGTAGTCATTAWAGTCGGTACATTTCATTTCTATCAYGTGCACGTAGCGCTTATCTTATTTTCTTACAATCTTATCACTTATCAGTTTATCACTATTGATTTTGGATGTAATGTACGGAATAATGCATGTATTTCAATAAAATAAGCACAAATTAACCTTAACAACATAATATCGACAAACGAAAACAACGCACTGCCTGTCTATTGTATAATATTATAACTTTTAAGTAATTGAATGGATAAAGTGGCAAAATAAAACATATACAATTTATTTGTATTGATATTTAAATTTTAAATATCGTAAAAATGATTGATTTGGGTATTTTCTAAATTTAGATGGCCCAAAGTTTTTGGGGAGGCTATTATTCAAGCTGGGAGTTAAGCTCCAAGCCCCCCCCCCAAACTACGCCTATGTTTGTATTCATACAGTTTTTTTTTCTTATAAAATGTATTTTTCTTGCATATTAATTTAAAACAGTCAATGACCATGAATGTCAAAAAAAAAAAAAAAAATTAGAGCATAATAGTGAAAACAATTACTATCATTTGAAATTTTTTAATGTTGCTATTTTGTWGACCCCTCAATATAATATGGTCCTGCCTCTGTTGTGCGTTATACCTATGTCGAAATATTATTACTAGAATACGTAATAATGTTGAAGCCGCTGTCGTTTATGATGACGTAGTCGGTATGGCACGCGGGTCGCGGGTGGAGGTACAGTATTATTCACGGTTTCTGTGTGCCTGTGTACCGTGTATGTCAGTGCGTGCGTGCACGCGATATGTGTGCGTGTGCGTATGTACGTGCGTGCGTGTGCGTGTATGCGTTGGCCCCGGCGACAATTATTATTATTATTTGTACCACCACCGCCACTAAGGCCGCCGAGATTATCAGCCGTCGTTGTGTGCGTGCGTTAGCGTGTACTCGTGTGCGTGTGCGTTCGTGAACGAGTGTGAGCTCAGTAAAGTGGCGAAGGGGGAAATAGTCGAAAGAAAAAAATAAACTGACAACAGCGACGACGACGAACCACTCGAACCAGTATTGGTTACACCCGATAATCGTCGTTCGTCTGCCGTCTGCTTTAATTTTCGTTTAGTATTGGTATTATTATTCGTTGTCCGACGGCCCTTGAAATATATATTGCCTTCGAGTAACTAGATTATTATTATTCATTTTTATCTTTTATTATTTTTCGTTTTATCCGTCACGATAAATACCGAAGCCCGTCACCGTCGTCCACAGTGTGACGTCCAACGCGCGCCAGTGTACTCTGTTACGCCGTCGGCGGCCGTCGTCGCCGTCGTCGCCGTTGTCTTCCTCTTCGTCCTCCTCAACGACATCGACACCCACAGTAGCCCCTTTTAGACGTTTCAGCAATCGCTCTACGTTTTTTTTTATTTGCGTCACTCATTTACCAAACGCGCAAGCCCGCACACCTGCGCTGCCGCCACCATTTGAAAATGTCCCGGGAAAACGTTTGACTTTCCGCTCTTAAAGGAGAATCGGTATCGCCAACATCGTCCAGGTAACACTCCAACTTTTCGTTCTAACGACAATAGGTTTTTATTTATTTTTAAACGGCTCACCACCATTTAGATAACGTCTGTCAATTCAAATCCTTGTTCAGTTAATATTATTGTTGTAAAGTTTTGTTTTTAAATCTCATAATTATATTAGTCAGATCATCTATACAATTAATTAATATTAGTTTAGGTAGGTAGGAATTTATTTTAGTTATATTAAATTACTCTTACAACATTTGACACTGAAATAATTAAACTTACTGTGAAACAATTTACTTTTACTTTTCAATGGTTTAACAGATTCTACATTAAGTATATTTGAATACTTTTTTATCGGAAGCTATAAACATAAAAGCTTCTAACTTATCTTTATTCAATGATTTTCGGATCACATTTTTACTAATTTTTTATATTCAAAATGAGACTTTAAAAGCCACCTAGTTTTAAAATAAATATTTAAGCAAATGGATTATAAAAACATTAAAAACCTCGAGCAATTGAAATATATAATAATAGCTTAGATATAGAAAGCATATTAAGAAAATAATTATATGAAAATGTTAATTGCCGATGTGAAACACTTTAAGGCTTACAAATCCTACTACCTTTAGAATATTTATCTTTTTATATGTCCATCACATTGTTGCAAGCGACCTTTCAGTGATTGATCTGTCGACAACTTAAATGATTGTTAATAAAAAATGTCCAAAGTATAAACAAATTATAGTTTATTTTAAATAAGCAAAAATGATAATAGTGTGTGTGTGTATTCTTAAGGCTGAGTGAAGGTGCTCTGGTCTTAGTGTCTATGGTACATCTGATTATGCTGTAATCTAGGTTTCCTTATACATGAATATAGTCGGTCCCTTTGATCTGGCCACTTGCATATTTGCAGGTGGTAAGTTGTTGATTTCATAAGAAACGTATTCACTAAATTTAAAAAGAATACTGTTCACGATTTCTAAATGTGCCCCAGGCTGCACGCTGCACAAATATCGAAGCAGTGAACAGCACACTTTGTTTTCTTCTCATAAATTATTGTTAATGTTTGTATCATCAATATCGACAATATCTTGTTGAAGGTTATATAGACATACGAGAATTATTTAATGGTTTTTAAATTGAATTCCAGCTTAAAGAGAAGTGTAATTATTCTGATTTAAACTATACATAGTAATGATATCTTTGTTATTTTTTCCAAGTGTTATGTGCTAAGAAGAAATTTTTGTTTGTCCATAAATTTATCAAAATCAGTAGGTGGGTAAGAAACATTCTAACTCATAATACATTTGATTTTTTTTTACAATTTTTCTCTCTGTACCTTCAACAATTCCTATAATAGCTAAATTATTATATTTCTATACGTATTTAGTGGTTTTTTTGATGGAATCAATCAATTATAAACATGTTACAATTCACCTAAATTTGGTCAATTTGAAAATAGGTAGGTTAGGTAACTAACCTAATAGTAATAAACCTATTACTAAATTGTTATCGTGAATGTTTTTATAAGTAATTTCTAATTTTCAATATACCAAACTGCCACTGACCATGTTAATTGAATTGACTAAAATTAAGCTATACCAGTGAGAGGTGACAAGATTTTTAGTTGGGGAAAATAAGGTTTTTGGTATATAATATATATAAACTATTCATAATATTAAAATACTTATAGTTCATATTATATTTGTATAAGCTCTTAGTGTTCATACCTATTGAATGTCACCCACTCACCCAACTTGAATTTTATTAGGCAGTTGCCCCCAAAAATTGATTTTTGGACAATTAAGTTTATGTATCTTATGTAATTTTTACTTAATGTGATTTGTTGGTTCTTCGGTTGAATCTGAATTTGATAAATTAGTAAAGGTCTAACCATAGATAATATCTACATGGTTAAGACACCACTATACCTATTATACATAGCATGCTGTGAATGAAGAGTCTACTGGTTACTATGTTAGTTATATGGGGTTACAGATAGTTTATGTTAAATAATATTTTTATCAATTTCATTTGAGCCAATTTTTGAATAAAATAAGATAATTAATTTTAATATTATTTATTAATATTAATCACAGATTAAGATATCTTAGTCTGTGATATTAAGAGGATACCCGTATTTGTTGTCTCAGTCTTACAAACACGTAACATAGCAAATTTACGCTTAGCAGTAGTTCACGTTTTACTCTGTTAGCTTAAAAATTAGAGTGAATAAACCTATTATGAACCTTGATGGTTAGAACATTATCTGTGTTTTGCTGGAAGTACTTTTACGATAATTCAGTTTTTAAGTGGGTTATGAGCATTTTTATTTTACAATTTACTATATGCATATAACTCACTTAAAAACTGAATTATCGTAAAAATACTTCCAACAAAACACAGATAATGTTCTTACTATCAAGTTTCATAATAGGTCTTTTCACTCTAATTTTTAAGCTAATGGAGTAAAATGTGAACTGCTGAGCGTAAATTTGCTATGTTAGCTTTTGTAAGACTGAGATAACAAATACGGGTGTTGCGCCCTCTTAATTTTATTCATTTAAAATGGTGTATTCATTTTTATACTGCGATACCATTACAAAAAAAAAAACACACATCATGGTAAAATCAATACATTCATCGCTCCGCTCAGAATCTAAAATACAACGNAATGACAAACACACCTTATCTTTTCATTTGTAAATATACATATTATTGAATTAACATACATTTTTAGTTATTCTATTATTTATACCAATACAATGTAAACGATTGAACATGTTATAAGCTTTTAAGCAGTTTAATGCAAATAATAAATAATATCACTTTCTACATTTTTCCCTTCAATGTGTGTCTAAAATTGAGTTTTCGTTATCACTTATGGTTGATACCACACTTTAATTATAATTAACCACTTGGGTAACTAGTTTGGACTTCTATCACAATTGAATACATGTTCTATCTGTGCGTGTATATATATTTTATCTATGGGTCTAATGTCTAACTATCTCTAAAAATTTGAATTGATACAAATAAATAACAATAAATCTCAATGATAGGTAATTCTTAATTTTATTAAACTTATCTACTTCTTTGTCTTCAGTCCGGTAATCAATGGTGATGATGGTGATTGCTTGTTGAAATGGAGTTTGTGCTCTAACAACATTTGAACATTTTAGTTGGTCCTGAAATATTTTATTATTGCAAGTCACATAATTTGTCTTTTTTACATTCTTTTTTTCGTATTTCAATTATCTAATTTTGATATTATAAATGTTAGTTACATAGTTTTTATCGAGGTTTTTATGATTAAACAAATGAACATTTTAGTATGAAATTAAAAACTATGATAAGCCAATTTAGTCATTCTTCTTTCACTAAAATGTAAAAATATTAATCAATCAGGTGCCTATTTTTACAAATTTATCATATAATTTTTATTTGAATCCAATATTTAGGTTTAAGAATTCAAGTTATTTTTAGTTTAATATTGAGTGCTTGACTTACCAACTTATCAACACTATTATAGGTAATATAATAAATAATGAATCAATACATTAATACATTAAAACCCATTTTGTATTATTGATATGAGTATTTTAAAAATATTTTTAAATTTTTAAATTTATAGTAGATATTATATAAAATTCATTGCCSATAAACTAGCGAACATATTTTTTTGTACATATAAAATGATAAAGTTTTAATAAGTAAATTATTGATTTAATAGAAATTGTTTTAAAAAATTGTTAGTTATTTTATTTAAAATATTTAGAAACTATTATTCATTTACTGATATTTTGTTTCAGGTATTTAACTATTGCAATGGAATTTTTAATGACAAAGGAATCTGATGAAGTCGTCTCTATATTGTCCCAAAATAATGAATCTACCAATACCAAATTTCAAAATGCAAACATTGATCAAATTAATAATGAAGAAGTTTCTACTGTATCAAAAACTTTATCTGACTGCTTAGTAGATATCCCAAATTCGCCAGATTCAGCATGTAGAGTTCAAAATTTGTTATTGAATATGAAATCTAAAGAACTCAGCACTAATTGTGATGAAAAAGATAGTATTGATAGCAATATAAAACCTTACAGTGACAATGTTAATAATCTAAATATGTGTAGTTTACCCTCTTCTACTTCAATTTCGTCTAGTGAAACTCTTGTTTTTTCAAATACAAATGAATCAATTTATTCAGATTTAAACAATATTTTTACAACTAATAAAAAACAAGGGTTTTCAATTGAAGAAATTAGTAATGACAAAACTTCTAAAAATAGCCAAAGCATGTTAACATACTCAAACGATTATACTTGTTTTTTAAGTGAACAAACAGATGCTATAAGCGATTTAACACCTTTCAAAAGAAGTAATAGCTATTATTTTGACTCTCCTGTAAAAAAGTTATGTACTACAAAACTGCCTATCAATGAAAAAACAAATGAAGTGGTTAACAGCATTAACTTGTATTCAAATAAAAAAGATAATAAAATATTCAGCGGATTTACAAGTATTCAGGATGACTTAGAAGTTGATTGTACACAAGATCGATATGATGGAAGCGACTCTGGATTTGGATCAGAATTAGCAGAAGATAAGAATAGTACTAGCTTAGATGTAGCAGTTTCATCATCAAGTGCATCATACAAAACATTGAACCAAGAATCTAGTTTTGAAGATCTGCAAAGAACTTCAAATGAATTTTTGTCAGCAATGGAAGTGTTGAAACCAAAGTTTTCAGATTCCATTATAGATACAGGACCATTAGACATTAAGAATAATTACGGGATTGTTAAAGGTATTTTAAAACGCAACAAACCACTCAATTATGGTGTTCTATCATCTGATGTTACAACAGTGAAGAAACGCAAAAATATAAATTTTGCAAATGTAACAGTCTTTTACTTTCCCAGAGTTCAAGGATTTACTTGCGTCCCTTCACAGGTAATAATTTTTTATTGTAAATTTAAATCGTTTTACTTTGAAATTGTGTTGTATTTTTGATTTATCAAGAAAATTATTTTTCTTAGGGTGGTTCTACTCTTGGCATGACAAAAGTTCATAGTGCATCACGAGTTTTTTCTCTGCCTGAATATATGGCAGAACAAAGAAGAATACGTCGAAACTTGATTCAACTAAGTCAATCCGAGGTGTCTGGTACAAATAGTGATGACAGTGATAGCGATGTAGGAGCAGCAGATGTTTACTCTGAATCTGACGCAGATGTGGATTCAGATAGCAATGGGAGTTTTTTACAAGTAACTTTATCTTATTATGTATGATTCAAAAAAAAAAAAAAATGTATTTATTTGTTTATAGCCCGTACCTACACGACAGAGACGTGCTCTATTGAAGGCAGCCGGTGTTGACAAAATTGATTCTTCAGAAAAGGATGATTGCAAAAGCATAAGATTATCAAGAGAATTCTGTGGGTGTTTGTGTCGTGGTTTTTGTGACCCAGATTCATGTGCTTGTTTTCAAGCAGGAATAACATGCCAAGTGAGAACCAAACAAAATATATTTTTTTAAATAAGTATTATTGGTATCACAAAATCCATATAAGATTAACAATCTAATCGTACTATGAAATCAGCCACAATTTTCTACCTGTATTTTAGTTTTGGTCAGTGTATTTTGAATGGTATTGGAACTGGTCTAAAAAGCATGGGAGGAATAAATTGGCCAATTTACTACGTTATGTTTTAGTTTAATAATAAAATTTAATTAATTATTAAGTAATCTAACTGTATCATATTTTGTGACTTAGGTCGATAGAATGAATTTCCCATGTGGGTGCACAGTAGATGGCTGTGGAAATTCTGTTGGTCGCATAGAATTCAATCCAACAAGAGTTCGAAAGCATTTCATTCACACCATAATGAGACTTGAAATCAAAAAGAGAGAAGCACAAGAAGAGGAACACTGTAATAAGCTAGCTATGACATCACCAGTTTTATCTAATTTTTCCTATAATGATTCTAGACAACCTTATTATCAACCACAACACTATGAACAAAATTTAAATGATTATAATTATCATTCATTTTTCCCTGTTTATGATAGCAATCACATTGCCCCAGAAAGTAGTACACTGAACGATTATCAGTTAAATAGTAACACTTTATATGAACCATATCAGTCATTTCCCTCTGCATTTGTGCCTTTATCACAAGATAGACCCAGAGGATTATCTGTTATAGACAATAAGCCGGAAACATTTACAGACTTATTGCAGCCATACAGCTTCCAAAGTATTGAAAGTACTGAATCACTTGGTATTTCAAATACTTCAAGTACATTGATTTCGGATAGTTTCAATTTAGAAACGGAAAATTTAGGAGAAATCATTAAAAATACAATGGTTGAAAGTGTCAATTCTTAAAACTTCATTCTATGACAACTTTTTAAAAAATAAATGTTTTCTTTAGTTAAATTTTTCATTAATTGTTGTCTAAATTAATAATTTTTAATTTGATTATCCTAATATTAATAGTATAGGCTTTCTCTGTTTCATATAAGAGTAATCACAGACAACAAATTATTTTTATTTGGTCTATCGGACAGTTTAATAGTTTTTCATCGTCGGCATTCAATTTTGATAATTGGCCATGACTAAAAAATACAGATGGTTGAAATAATCAAGAGGACGTCGCACCTGCATGTGCTGTTTCCGTCTTTCACACGTACAACATAGGAAATGTTCGTTCGCTAGTTTCAATAGGGTATTGTCAGTATTGATATTAGAGTGAATCCACCTATTATCAAACTTTTAGGTAGCAACATTATCTGTGTTCTCTCGTTGGTTTTTTACGATATTTTAATTTTTAAGTGAGTTATGGGTATGTAAATTATGAATATTTTAAAATGTACATAACTCACTTAAAAATTAAAATATTGTAAAAAACCGACGAGAGAACACAGATAATGTTGCTTGCCTAAAAGTTTGATAATAGGTGGATTCACTCTCATATCAAAACTGACAATACCCTATTGAAACTAGCGAACAATAATTTGCTAGGTCGTACGTGTGTAAGACAGAGACAGCACATGCGGGTTAGACGTCCTCTTAAGCGACTACTATGAACATGGCACTCAGCATGTAATTCACACCCATTGCTGCTGATGTTCACAGAAGTCTTCCATCTGAGGTTACTGATATATGAAACAGTACAGTTTACACATCCGTCTATTAGGTTCTATCAAATATCATGTGTGGTTGGTTATTTTAATGGCTTTTAAATACATTTTTGTATCACCTGTTATCACTTTTCAATAAATACGATGCGTGTCCAGAAAGTAAGTGTACTCAAGATTTGTAAACTTAAAAATTGTATTTAATAAAAAATTACGTGGTTTCATTAATATATTAGTGCTATTTTTCTACATAGTCACCATATCTTTAATCTGATGCAGGTAGTGAGTMGGCAGATTAATTTTTGATGGCTGCCTAGTAGGACTCTGCCACCACCTCCTTTGTCCATTTTTCCACCCATTTGCTTCTTTAGGGAAGTGAACATATAGTAATCTGAAGGCCAGGTTAGGGGAATACGCAGGATGGTTCAAAACATGCCATCCAAATGAGTCTAACAATTAATTCGTAACATTGGCCGTGTGTGGTCTGACTTTGTCATGCAGCAGGCAGACTCCGCTCGTTAACAGACCTCTCCTTTTATTTTGAATAGCTCTCCTCATTTTTTTAGGGTCTGACAATATCTTACTGCGTTGATGGTCTCCTCCTGATGTAAATATTCAATCAATATGATGCTTTAGTGGTCCCAAAATACTGATGGCATTATTTTTTTTTTTTGACTAAAATGACGATTTTTAACTCTTTRGTTGGGGGGTGAATGGTGTATGGTACGTTTTTAAACTCCCTACACCTCTTGTACCCTCTAGTACGATTCATATTGTCTTCACCATAAACAATTTTTACCTCATTAATAATCTCATGTGGAGATTTTTACTTCACAACGAGGTAACAGATAACGGCGCAGATTTCGAATTTGGTGGCAGACTCTATCGGCATGTTTAACAAGAAAAATTCATGCGATCACAGTTTTCAACGTACTGAACTCGTTCTAGTCTTGCTTTAAAGGTTGGGAGTAAAGATATATGACAGTGAAGTTAACATAGTAAAAAAATATTCCATAGGTTGTGAGAAAATCTGTACATTTACTTTTTGGACACGCCTCTTAGTAAATTATTCAAGAATCTGTTAAGTTTCAATAGAATTTTCAAAAAACTATAGAATTACCTGAAATTATTTTTAAATATGCTACTATATAAACAAGTGGTTGTCATAAAAATATATATATATATAAATTAATTTCTTGTTTAACTTTAATTTTGTATCCAATTATATTCACAATTAAAGGAAAACAAACTAATTTTAGTACTTAAGATACCTAAACTAAATATTTCTGAAACATATTATGTGATCTCGTATTGGTACTTTGTAATATATTTAAGGAATATATTCATTTAAAAATAATTTATACAACTTCTGCATCCTTTGAAGTCCAAAATAATTGAAAATTTAGTGTTGTGGTTATTAAGTTTGCTCTTTTATTATCATTTTAGTTTTTTTTGATAAATTGGAATTTATTTTATTATTCATTAAGGAGGAAGAAGGACAAACAGTTGATTAAGATATTATATATTAGAGTAGCAATAATAACCTATTTTATGGCTACTTATGTATTTAAAGCAATCACATTTTTTTTACTTAATCTATGAAATGTAATAGTATTATTTTTGTTTAAATTAATTAATAACAGTTTCAAACAATTTTAAACCGCTAAAGTATTAAAAATTATCCCAATATCACTCAAATCCAATTTAATTTTTGGTACATTTTAGTAGTATTTCATATTATTCTTATTTTTATTTTTTTTTCGTTGAWTTTTACGTAAATACTTTAGTTAATTTTGGATAATTTGTACCAGCTATCAATATTTTGTTAACTATATTGGTGTTTTAACAAATCGCTTACTTTTTTACAATTTATTGTATTAGATGATTGTTAAATTAATTTAAAGACTTGTTAAATTTAAAATTTATCGGCTTTCCTACGTCGAATCACAGGAATTGCCAGTTTAGAAATTTATATTATATTATTGTACAATATGAATCTAAGTTACTCATAAATTTGTATATTAGTTTAAAACAGGCGATGGATCCTTTGTGCAATGTAATAAGATTTGACTATAAAATGGTGTCCTAGAATACACTATAGTGTTTTCTAGTAAAATTATTCATTTTATTTGCATAGGAGAACTGTTTTATTATTATGATTGTGATCATGAACATTAGAACTATTAATATTTTTAATATTTGAATATTAGTTATTATTATATTGACTTGTGAGGTTATTTTCTTAAATGCATTAGGTTTTTTATTATTGTTTTAATAGGCGTATTTATAATACATAATCCTAAYGTTATAAATTTGACCAAATAATGTAACCCATGGAAAAAGCTGATTTGCTAAAATCACCGTTTTTATGTATTAAGCATCGTGTTATTGAACATGATAAAAATGCCTTGTTACACTAATTTATTTGAAACAAAAATAATTTTCATCTTGTAACACCTTAGCACCTTGAAATAAGAAAAACAAATTAATATTCATATTAAGGCAAGCTTGTTATAGTTTAGTCAATCGTTTTAGTACATTATCAAGTATTGGAATTAGTGTATCTGTACTGTATTCATGTAAGTGTGTTTACTAATAAAACTAATTACAATTATTAATTCTAATATACTAATAATAATAACTAAGTACTTTTTTTTTTTAAGACCTAGGTAATTTAATATTTTTGTCTTATGCATTTTCTCAACATCTGTAGGGCTAATAATAATAAAGCTTTTATGTATTGAGTTTTAGAGTTGTAAGTTGGTAGTAGACACTGAACGTATTTTCGAGATAATGTAATCAAGTTTACACAATATAGAACTTCATATTATGGTATAATAATATATATAATGTTCATAAAAGTACTTTTAAATTTATCTATTATTGTATAGTGAAGTAAATAAGACTACATTTATAGCCTAGTTAATCTCAAAATCACATCTATTAAATTCAGTAATGCAATATTTCCAAAGTTAAAATTTTTTGAATGTGTCATTCAATAACAATCAAAAACAAATTATGTATCAACTTCAATTTTAGTAGTGCTATGTAGTTTTCAAATTAAAATTGTGCATATCCTTAATGGTTTTTTGTTATACAAAATTAACCTTACTGGTTGGTGACTGACATTAATTTTAAATTCTTAAATGGTGTCACAAATATGTGAATTTGCTGTTATTATCAGACATAATGTCATGATATTTTCTTAATGTTTTCTATTTTTTCTTTTAAGGTGTATAATTGAAATCTGCTGTAATAATATGGGTATTTTAATTTGTTTGTCAATTTTACTTAAAATGATTCTATCATTTATCCTCCTGTAAATACTATTGTTTTTTATTCATCAGAATTCCGTTTTATGGGATGGTAAAAATTTACTCAAAAATAATTTATTTATAATGAAAATGTTTGAGGTAATCTATTATTTATATTTTAATGCAATTAGGTTGAAATTCAATAAATTAGTGGATAAGGGACTGTTATACATTGTGAATATATCTATTTATCAATTAAAAATATTTGTATTGTATACCTAAACAATGCCAAGTGTCAATGATTTTTTTTTTTTTTATACCCATGATAAAAAACAGGAATAGATAAAATGATTTTCTTGTTACTTTTAATGTTCACATTTTGGATAAATGTATTTGTTCTTGTATAGAATCTTCTTCACAACCACAAAATCCTTCATGGCAATTTTTGATATCCAATTTTAAACAATAAATTAAAGATGAATAATATATTTGTATTTATTATTATAATACATATATTATATGTAAAGATAATCGTTAATTGTATGTATGTGAATGTATTGAATTATTGGTGTGTATGAAAATACAAACAATTTAAAATTGAATAAGAATCAAAAATAATAAATATTTCATTTTTAATATAATAAAATATTTATTATGTAGGCCGACATGTKACAACTATCTCTTCTAGTATGACTAGAAATGTATTATGAGTTGGGATATCAATGAAAAAATAAATTAATAAACCTAGTCAACCAACTATTTATGATACAATTAAGTTAATATCATAATTTAATAGTAAAATGAAAACATTGCATCATATTTTTTTAAYATAGTTATGTGATAGGTATTCCGTCCAACTGTGGAAAATTAATCTAAGTACTTTGTTAACAATTACTAGGGAACAGATTTTAATATCTAAAAAATATGAAAAATGTCCTAAAACAGACGACCTACTAATGCATTAAAAAATGCTTTATAAAATTTTAAAAAATGTTATTAAATTCAATAAAAACAAAATTTTGAACAGTTTTGTGTGTGTTTAATATAACCGTTATAACTTAAAACTTATAAGAAATTTATCTTATAAAAAAAATATTTAAATATGTAAAATAAAAATAAAACTTTTTTGAATTCTCACTTATCTTCTGTTTTAGCCTGAAAATTGTTTCATGTTAATTAATGATTATTAATTTATTATAGAGTTTAAATGAATTTTCTTTTTCTTTTACCTAATTCATATTCTTTGTGACACTGAACAATAACATGATGTTTAATATTTTTGAATGAAAATCTTCTACAGTTATCTGCGAATATTGTTTTGTATAAGTACTGAAAACTTCGTTTAACGTCACAAGAAATCATTGGGACATACATCACTATTATGCTATATCAACAGCGGTTAGTTCTTCAGATATGTTG